AAACAAAAACAAAAAAAACCTCAACCCCCCCCCCAGCAGAACACTTCTTCTGCAGCCAACAACTCAGTCTACAATAGTTCAGAACATTTTTAACACTATAGTTTCCCATTAGAAATCTCTGGGTTTAATCTTGTGAATCAGGTGTAGGGGTTTGCATACCTAAAGCCTCTGGCAGGCATTCAGTTAAGAGCACGATGGGATCTGACCTGCAATCCCAACAATTGTGCCTTCTGCCACGGTACACATGAATGGCAGGAGGCACAGTTATGGAAAATTGTGCCAAATTGCCAGTGAAGGGGGAGGCCAGGAACACGATCTTAGGCTCCCTCTGTACTGGCAAGTAGAAAGCCAGTCAGGCAACTGGTGCTCCCAGCCTCAGGAGTGCACTGGAGTCAAGGGCTCCAATGCACTCAAGGCTGGGAATCCTGACCAGCCGACTGCCACTCCAAGCCTTGCGGGCACAGCAGAACAAAGGGCTCTGTTGCACCCTTGAGGCTGGCAGCCCCAATCAGCTGATCAGCCTGGCTTCACATGCAATTTAAGGTGAGATGGAAACCAGCCACAAAAGTGATTACACTTAAGTTATTAGCGTACTGATTTGCAATAACTTTGTGGTTTATTCCCAATTTTATCACATTATTAACTGAACGAATGTGTGGCCAGGTCAACTCAAAGACATGATTAGCTGGACAATCGCATCTTAAGTGTAATGGGCCTAACAAGGCAACCAGGCCATCATGGTTGAGAATCACTGATCCAAACTAACTTCACTGAAGTCAAAGAAATTAGTCTAGATCGACTTGGTTGTAAGAGAGATTGGACTTGGCCTCAAAATCTGATTGAAAAGATTTTAAATTTCAGAACTGTCATAACTGCCTCCACTAATAATGTTTCAGTGGAGCCAAGCTGCTTTGCTCCTGTTGAAAGGAAGGAACACAGAGGGGAGGAAAGGGAGTGCAAAATGACTTCTCATCCCCATAAATTCAATTAGATTTGCCCAAAAAGGCAGCCTCACTGGAAGGTGGCTCAGGGACACTTTTGCTAGAGTTGTGAAAAAGGATTTCTCTTCCAAAAAGAAACCATATAGCATTGGTTTGGATGTATTAAACTTTTTACATCCCTTCTTATCTATCTGGGGCAGTCACCAAGACACCTAGACTCAGAAACAGACACCATTTCACCTTTTCGATCTTGAATGACGCACAGGTCTCTTGAAATCTTTTCTGAACATCTTCATATTCTTTCATTTCTGGTTTTAGCTGCACAACTTTGACACGCTCTTGGTTCATATCTTCCCATGTTGCAGGGAGTACTATTGACTGATTTTCTGCAAAGGCAAACGTTTTGTTAACAATGTGTACTGGACTCTGGTTATGGAGGCATAATTATCAGCATACTATGAAAGCATCATTCAATGATTCCTTGCTCTGCTTTTACTTAATGGACTTTGGACTGAGGTCCTAAAATGCAATTATGTTGATAGTGCTGTTCAAGACCCAAACCTTAAAAATCCTTGCTAAGCTTTTCATAAGCCTCACTGCGAGAAAGCTGTCAGAATATCAGATGCTTAGTAAAGACTGAAAAGGCACCTCAATATTTGGCCTAACCAGCAGATTCATCTATACCGGCAACACCTAAATTCACTGCACTCCACACTCATTGGTAAAGTGGCAGCATCGTTCCCTACCCCTTTTTCTTAAAAGAATGTATGACATAGGGAAATGGAGAAATGCTGAAGGGCTAAAAAGATTGGGAACAGATCTAACTTAAACTTCACCCCTTCTCTGTCTCTGCTTCTGGATGTAGTAGCACAAGACAGAAGTTATTCTTTCCACCTAGTCAGGAGGCATCTCAGAGAAAAACAGAAAACAATTTATTGAAGACACTGTAACCTTCTCTCCCTCAAACATATGGCCTCCAGACTCAACAGCACCAGCCGCTTTCCATCTCAATTCATTGCAGAGAAGCTAGGGTTGCAGCTGCATGGTCAATGAATATGAAGCTGGTTTCCACTTATGCCAAAAGGAACAAATACTGGATACTCTCAATCAAGAAGAGTAAAGACTTCATGAGAGCAAGACAATTCTTTCCAAGAGAAGAGAGAGCAAGACAAAAGACAGCGAGGAGTCCCCAAGACGAAAAGTATCTTGCATAGCTGGGAGTTTTGTTGTTTCCTAAATGCAGGAACATTAGAATGTTTATTTCAGTGGTATCAAATGAAGCAAAGTTCTCATTAGGACTCTTCCTCTAATCATAATTCCAGTCAATTAGTAGTTGTATTGTGGTAGCTTCTAGGTGACAAAGCCACTGTTAAGCATGGTACACACACAAGATGTCTCTGACCCTCTCAGATGAGCAAAACAGGTGAAGCTAACTGAGGGAATCTCATGGAAAGACAGACAGTATCTCTATAAATACAAGATGCTTACAGCATTCCAGCTGCCTAAATTACTGTTTTTTCTTGTCATCACAAATTTGATTTACTGTGCCTTTCACAATTTTAAAACATCCGTGATATTTTTTTTTTTTTTTTTATCATCTTTGTCTTCCATTTCAGTTTCTTTCAATTCTTTTTTCAGTATACAACATACTGCTTCTAACAGCGATTTGTATTCCAGATGTGCCCAAGAACAGCTCTGTCTGACCATAGCTTATTTTCCTTACTCCTCATCTGCACTGGCCTAGTCTAGCACTACAGCAATACTAAACCTAGCTTAAGTAACAATGAAACCAGATCAAGAAGAGTTCACTTACCTTCCATTTTCCAGATGCGTATAATAGGTTTACGTTTCCCTTGATCATCTAGAGCACTTTTTGCTACCAGATCCACTTTATATCTTTTGTTCTCAAAAGTGATGTCAATCTCCTTCTGTTTTCCCACTGCCGCATCCTCCAAGTGCAGGTTCGTCAGGCTGTCAAAGGGCACATAACTACCGTTTTCTAAGTACTGCCACTCAACTAGGCTGCTAACAAGTTCTGCCTTGGATTCCTCTTCTTGAGCTTCTCGGACTTTTTTAATTAGCTCTTGAATTTCCAAGCAAGCATTCAAGACATCTTGGTTAACACCTGAAACTCGAATGGCAGGAACAGCTTCCTTGAGATCCCAATCAATGTCAATGTATAATTTTTTCTGAAGGTCTTTCAGTTTCTCAAACTCCCTTTCACCAAAGCCTGAAATCCCTTCTTCTGATATAGTCTTTTCAAGCTGTTGCTTTAAAATCTGGTTTTTAATCCATGATTCAGCTGCTTCTACATTTTTCCAGCTTTCACCACAAATCTGAAAAATGGCTGGCATCATTTTCGTCTTTGAAACCACAGAGGGGGATTTTTCTGTTGGGCGTTTTCCAAACCCAAAATAGGCTGTAATCAAGTAGAAATACAGAAAGTAGTTGCAATGGAAGAAAGGATAAGAATCAAGTAGCCTTATATGTGCACCCCTACACAGACAGCAACACCAAGGCAGCTACTTACATACAACCCGAGAGAAGAATGAACGTGGTGCAGGCGTAGGATGTACCTGCTCAGTTACTTGTCTTTTCTGCATGCTCGCATGGAACATATCCATTAGATGTGGCTGGAAGATAATGATTTTGATTTTTTCCACAGATTGAACAGATTTACCATTTGCAAAGTCCACAACAGCATCCATCATAGCATCAGCTACCTTAGCAGGATCATGGCCTGCCTGACCTGTAATAAATATCGAAGTTAAAAATAACAGCAACTAAAATAGTTTCATAGTTTCTAGGGTCGGAAGGGACCTGAGAAGATCATCTAGTCCGACCCCCTGCCATGGCAGGAAAGAGTACTGGGGTCAAACGACCCCAGCAAGGTGTTCATCTAACCTCTTCTTAAAAACCCCCAGGGTAGGAGCCTGCACCATCTCCCTTGGAAGTTGGTTCCAGACCCTAGCTGCCCTGACTGTGAAATAGCGCCTTCTGATGTCTAACCTAAATCTACCCTCTGCTAGCTTGTGACTGTTGTTCCTGGTCACTCCTGGCTGTGCTTGGGGGGGAACAGTGACTCCCCCAGTGCCTTCCGATCCCCCCTGACCAGTTTGTAAATGGATGCATTGTGTTAAAAAAGCCACTTAAAATAGGATTAGGATGATTAAAATCTTGGGCACAAAACTGGCTAGAATGAAGACATTTTTAGGCTAGAAAGTGAAAGATTTTTCAACATCATAATAGCCTCTGAAGAGTAGAAGAAAGAGCAAAAAACCTAACTAGCTATTGGTGTGGTATAAGTAAATGAACGCAATTATATGATGGGGCTGCCTGCTATAGAAGGGACCATGGCTAACGGGCTCTAAGGGCACATCTATACATGCAGACACATGCACCTGCAGCAGCTCAAACAGGAGTGACAAATTTGAGCCGGGGATTTTTGCCTCAGCACATGTGCCTGGTCATGCACTTTGGTGTGGGGCAGGTTGTGCCACTTGGGGCAAAATGACCCTGCCCAGCTCCTCCAGGATCTTCAGCCAGGGGGAACTAGAGCCTGGGGCCAGCACCTGTGCTGGCCCCAGCAGTATTAAAAAAAAACTGCACTGGCAAGCAGCTCAGGGCTACCTGCTCTCAGGAGCTTCTGGGGCCTGGCTATCTGGGGACACTACCCCTTGTGCAAGCTGGACTGCTGAAGCAGCCCTAACAGAGTTCCCTGCACCCTCTACCCAGTGCAGCCGTCTGGCAGTGGGGGCTGCTGCCTGGCTGTGACTTGCTGCCACCTGCAACAGCATGCAGCCCCAAGGCTGCGCGCCTGCCAGACCCCGATGGGAACTGCACAGCCACAGCAGAGGCATCTGCACCTCTGGGACAGCTGCCAGCAGGCTGTGGCTAAAGAGCTGGCCTGCCATCTGGACAGCTATTGCCCGGAAGATGTTCTCAGTGAACTGAGAAAGCCTGGCCACTTAGGTCCAAGTGGCAAGAAGGTTAGCCATCTCCAGCTGAGTCCCAGATGCCAGCCCTAAGCAGGCTTCTCTGCCTGGGTCCTGCTACTTGCCTCACTAGCAGGAATTCTGGTACTCCTTATTTAAAATCTGCAAAATCTATGATAAAAAAGAATCCCAAATTCACCCTTTAAAATACCCCCAAATCCATGTTTTTCCACACTTAAAACAAAAAGACCACTATATATACACGTGTGTGCACGTGTGCATATACATACAAATATACACATAGAGAGGGAGAGAATCAGTTGGGCAACGTCTTATTGATATATTTACAATTTTAAAGCAATCTGGAAACCTACCAGTGTCTCTAGCATCATAATACATTCATTCAAAATATATATTTGTTTTGATGTTTGCTTTTGGTTGTCTCATCATAGAACAATTAGAGCTCCCCCTGACCCCCTCACTAACTAGGATGCGGGGGACAGCTGGCCCTACAACCACAGCTCCTGCCAGCAGGTCTCATCCTATCTGGCAGCTGGGGACAATGGGTGTGTGATGGAGGGGATGTGGAGTTTGCAGAAGGTGGGTGGGAAGGGGTGTGGGAGGATGTGGGTGTGTGGAGGGCTGTGGGGATGCATGGGTGGGATTATGGAGGGCTGCTTGGGAGGGGTGAGTCCCCTGCCCCCTACAGGGCACCCCCCAAAGCACATGCAATGCCCCCCACCCCACAAGGCCCCAGTCCCCCACTACAGGGACGTCCTGCCTGTGCCACTCATCATGGGTGTTGCCCAGCTCTGCACAGGGCGTGCGTCTTTCTGCAGCCCCAGGTCACTTGGGCTGTCACCTGGGGACTGGCACCACTCTCCAGAGGAACAGCTTCTGGGTTACCTCAGGGCATGGTCTGTTTTTTTCCTCCCCATGTGTTTTTTTTGGGCACCTGGATATCCAAGTATCTAATTTTGAGCCCATGCTACAAATATGGGCTGCAGTGAACATTTTTTCATTCGCACCGTGCCTCCTGCAGCGTCTCAAACTGGTTTGGGATGCTGCAAGTTGCGTGCCTACTAGTCTGGATGTGCCCTAGCAGTCCCAAATACATAGTCATATTCAAGAAATGGATCCATACACAATTGGAACTTTAATCACAGAGCCCACAGTCTTACTGAATTGGAAGCACATTATGGGACATCAAGAAATACAACAATTTTATTAATTTTTCTTTTAAATGAAAAAGAATTAAACTTTTTAGATCAATCAAATTCACCAATGGCACATGGATGGCAGCAAAGTCACATGGGTGGAACTTGGTCCCAAGAAAACCACCTGATTTTATTTTTATATTTCTAAGGAAAGGCAAACCTGTTCCAATTGCTGGAAAGGCAACAGATTTGTATCCTCTCTCTTCACACTCCTGAAGCACTTTAGAGACCTGAGCTTTGATGTCATCACTGGGAACAAGGTGAATAATTTTCTTACACTTCAGATTTCCACCTTGAGTGGTTATAAAGTTATTGTGAGGTTGGGAGGCTGAAAGATGAAACAAAATGAGATGTAAGAAAAAAACAATTTATGTAAAACTTGTCTGAAATCTTCTCTCCAGTTGCCACCTGTCTGTCACCCTCTTTGTGCATCTTCACCTGGGTTCCCAATGATCTCTTGCAGAAGATTCAAAACTCTTACACCATCACTTTCCAGGCCCACAGGTGAGTTACTGCCTACAGTTCAGTTTGATCAGTGCTCTCAGACAATATGGTGCTTTTCAGTGTCTCATGGGCATTCTACCACAATTACCCTTTCCTTCATTTACCTACATTCTCCTCTTTAGCACTGTGCATAATGAAGCATCACTCCTTTCAGCTCCGGCTACACAGTTCACTTTCTTCAGCTGCTTTTTACTACTGACCTCTCTCTTTGCTTCTTCCCTGAGCCCCTGCCTCTTAGAATCATAGAAAAATAAAGGTTGGGAGGGACCTCAGGAGGTCACATCTAATCCAACCCCTGCTCAAAGCAGCCCCAGCCTCAACTAGATCATCCCAACCAAAGCTCTGTCTAGCTGGGTCTTGAAAACCTCCAAGGATGGAGATTCCACAACACCTGTGGGTGACCTGTTCTAGTGCTTCACTACCCTGCTAGTGAGGATGTTCTCCCTAATATCTAACCTAAACTTTCCTTGTTGCAACTTGAGACCATTGCTCCTTGTTTCATCATCTGCCCCACTGAGAACAGTCCAGCTCCATCCTCTTTGAATGGAGCTCCTCTCCTCTAGTCCTCTTTAGTGTGGACTAAATTACACACAGCTTCCACTATTCCCCAATTTCATTTTTCATCCTTTGATGCCTTGTGTCTAAAGTTAGATACAAGTTTCTCTTAGGTAGGAACTTTGGGCACTGACAAAAGTTATATTTTTTTGCACTATGAGGCCCCTGAAAGCACTCTGCAGTCATAACATAGCAAACCTTCATGGCTGCAGAGTGCTTTTAAGACGACCAATCGCAGGAAAAATTAGCCCTTGTTAAATCAGCTATTAGACTAAGATGTTCTGGAGCACAGCACCTTAGGAAACTTGTGTGCAGGTTCCCTGCAAGGTCTAATTTTGGGCGATTCTGCCCACATCCCGTGTGCCTCTGTGGGGTTGCCACAGAGAGAAGATAGAGCCCCCCTGCGCCGTGGGGGAAGGAAGGTGATGGGGGGGCAGGAGGGAAGGTACCTTTGCTAGGGTCTTGGTGGGGAACTGGCCCAGGTCCACAAAGTGGGGGAGCTCGGATTCCCACCCCTTGCCTCGGCTCCTGGTGCGGCAGCCAGGGCTGTTTGTCAAACACGGTAGCGCCAGAAACTGGGGCAGGGGTTGGGGGAAAATGGACAGAGAACCTAAACTCCCAATTACTCAGACCTGGGTTGGCTACCCTGCTGGGTCTTGGGGGCAGCTGGCCCAGGCACATAAGGCAAGGGGACTCAGATTCCACATGCAGCTTGCGGCGTGGCAGCCAGGGCAGATGGCAACACATTCACACCAGGAGCTGGAGGGGGCAGGTGGGCATAATCTAGACCCTGACACCATGTGGCCATGGCCCAGATACCCCTGCTTGGATCTTGGGAAGGGAGCTGGCCTGGGCCTGCAAGACAAAGGGTAGGATGGGGGGGCTTGGGATTCCCTCCCACCCCATCTCAAGCACATTTCCAGCACACAAGGGAATCCCCAGGAGAAAGAAATGCGATAGGGGAGGTGGGAAAACTACCAGCCAGGAAGCTGAGGCTATGGATAGCACCTTCTTGGGAATCTTTCCTGCAGGCTGGGGAGCTTGCAGAGCATATGATAGCACCCTCCTGCATCCTTGCCTTGGCCAGTTCATGCAGGCTTCAAGCCCCCAGCAAACACTGAACATCTGTTCAGTTTGACTGTGCTGTAACTTTAAGTGTCATGTGCAAAGCATGAAAGTTGCAGCACAATAAGAAGCACCTTCTGACCATTTGTCCAAGTGCCCTTCATTTCCTGGGACTCCCCCTGGGATGGTTCATCTCCTTCAAGTTTAAAGCAAACACTAACCATTGCGCTGGGCACTATCTAAAGGTACAATTTAGTCCTTTATGCTTTATCCTGGATTGTAAAGTTATAATGGTACAGGAGAGCGCAAGAGGTCAATTATACACCTTTACCTTGATGCTGACACCACTTGAAGTGTTTCCTTTGAATAAATCTTAACATATTTGACAGATAACTGTGGTCACTTGACTTCCTGCCCCTTGGGCAGGGGGCTGGACCTGATGATCTTGTGAGGTCCCTTCCCACCCTAATGTCTATGAAACCTATGATATGGTATCAATCAGTTTAGGAGTTGCAAGAGCATGTACACACACATCCACAGAATGTAGTGCAGCTAGAAATTTCAACACTGCTGAATACCCCAGCTCCCACAGAGCTTGAAATTGTGGGTGATCAACACATTTAAAAAGTAGGTAGTAAGCATACGTTATACCTAGTTGAGCACATTCAGTTTCAACCTCTGATCCAGCACCTTTCAGAATTGCTTTGGAGACACCTTTGAAAAAAAAACAAAAAAAACAAAAAAACGGTATTAGTTTGATTAATCTAATGAACAGTAATAGCAGTTGTTACAACAGGAGAGAATACCACATACACCAGGGATGCTCAACCCTGGTGCTGTGTAATCTGGCCTGCAGGGTTCCCTATAGGTCCTGTGGGAAGCCTCCCAGGCTGTGGCCTTGCACACTAGATGGGGCTTTGCAGGCTGCGCCCACCTGGACAAGGATGGGTTCTGGCCATGTGGAGGCAACCTAGAGTCCCAGGGCCTGATCCTGGCATGTGGGGGCAGGGCAGGATCCATGGGCCAACCCAGCCCATGGACTGGCCCTACGCCATTGATCTGGCCCATGGGAAAACAAAAACAAAAACCTGTAAGCAACACTGCAATATACCATCCAAAGTTTCCGTGCTAGTAATAGTATTGGTCAAGATTTAAAAGAGGACCCTATGGTAGAGTTTAGTTAGTGCTCAAGTTTCAGAAAGTATTTAATAGCAGCAGCTCTGTTTGCCCCCAATGAAAGCTATCTTTATAGATTAAATCAGGATGAACCCAATAAATCTTCATAAAAATTTAAAACTTATAAAGTTTCACAGAGAAAGATTTAATTTGCCATGGATGTGACACAAAATTATATTCTTGTTACATAATTCTATAGGGATTTTTAAAATGTGCAAACGATTCTTATTCTGTAATAATGTATAGGATAAACATTGTTTTCTAAAGTAAAAAAATAAAAACAAATGTCACATTTCTGGTTCAGTTCCCCATCCCCCCCAATATGAAGAACCAAAGGCTCACTATATTACAAAAATAAATACTAATAATTACATGCTGAAAATACTATTTCCCCCACAATACCTTTATGCACAGAAGTGCACGGTACTGCTCCGAATGAACTACCTCATTACCAAAGCCATTAGGGCCTTGTTAGTGGGGTACTCCATCTCAGTCAATTAATTCTGCCCACTTAATCACCTAACACAGCTACACTTGATCTTAAACTACAAGAGGCCAAGTCGTCCATACCCAATCTAATTCATTCAGAACTAGGTTGGGTATGTCTGCACAGCATGGCATTTGCCATGTAGATGTGCCCCCATTAAAGCCATCCTAGTGCATTCATCATTAAAATTCATCACTAACTGGAAGTACCTGCTTTGAGGGAAAAGCTTTTATTTGATACGTTTACAATGACATCCGTCTCTTCTTTGGTTATGTCTCCTTGTCCTACTTGAAATTTAATTGAGCCAATCTGCATTTCATATCTTCCTTTTGTTGAGGTCAAAATGGTCCCAAAGAAAACTGCAAGAGAAAAATAAAGGAATTGAAAAGGATGGAAAAGCAATTCAGCAAAGGAGACACTTTCCAGAGGAAGACACCCACTTGTCTGGATGTGCATTTACTACCAAGGCCTTGAAAGTCTGAATTGTAGGTCTCTCTCTGTCACACTGATGAAGAGGATTACAAGAATGCCCAGCCCTCCTTGGAGAATCAAAGTAATTTCACCCATACTAAGCTTAAGTAACTGTACTGATGGGCAGGGAGATCAAGACAAGATACACCCTCATGCTATGACTGGGTTGCACAGATTCAAGATTTCAGGGATCTATTTTGTAGCTGTGTAGGTCTGAGAGAGAGAGACATGAAACTCTTGTTTCAGAGGTGATATCTTTTATTAGACCAACTAAAAATAGCAAAAAATCCAAACAAAAAAAACCCCTTTCTTTGCAAGCTTTGGGCACATGCACTCTTACAATCTTTGATTTCTCCTCAGGCTGAAGAAGAGTTCTCTCAGGTAGAAAATAAACTTTTGCATAGGGAAGTTGAGGCTGGAAGTGTATTCCCTTGGGTATGTGAGAGTCCTTTTGTGAGAATTGCTCTGTGATGTGCAGGTAAGGCTGTCTTTGTTGCTGGAGGCGTCAGATGTTAGAGGCAGACAGGGAGGTGCAAAAATCCTTCTTTCTTGTTTAGCAACGAAGTTTATTCTTCCATATATTTTTTCCTTCTCTGCACATGACAGCGCAATTCAAAGGACTTGCGCATACCCAGGTGTGGCAGGACGCGACCTAGGGGTGCCATGACCTCCCCTAGCGCCCTTATCTACCGTGCCAAATCAGGTCTCGAACGCACCCTCTACCTCGCCCGCCATGTCTTGCTGGTGAATATCATTAATGGGAGGCTGCCTTCCTGCCCTCCTTGGCACGGTGCCTTGCTGTACTGGGGCTCTGTCCAGTTGCCCATCGGCGCCCTCACGGGTGCCCCCTCGCTTCCCATCTCCCGTGCTCTAGCCCGCACCGAGGCCCGTCTCCCGCAGCTCTCGTAACCCGCACTGGGCCTCACCTGTATACCGTCACCTGCCACCGGGCCTCACGGTTCTTGCCGGCCGCACCGGGGTCTGCCTTGCCCCACGGGCCTTGCAGCCCTTGCTGAAGTCCGTCTCCCCACAGGCCTGCCTCTATACCGTTGCCTGTCACCGGGCCTCGCGGTTCTCACCGACTGCACCGGGGCCTGCCTCGCCCTGCAGCCCTCACTGGGGTCTGTCTCCCCGTGGGACTGCCTCTATATTATGGCCCGCGCCGGGGCGCCTCTCTCATATCGTTGCCCGCACCAGGGCCTTGATACCGTCGCCTGCACCGGGGCCTGTCTCTTATGCTGCCGCCCCCAGCTGGGGCCTGTGCCTCGCGCTCCCCGCACTCTCGCCCCCAGCCGGGGCCTGGGCCTCACGCTCCCTGCCCGCACTGGGGCCTTGCTCGCGCTTCCCACAAATCTGGGCTCAGGTGGCCTTGCCCTTACCTGGCCCCCAGACTCCTTTCTTGGGGTCTTACGCCCACTGGGCTCCTCACCACGGGGCTCAGGCGGCCTCAGCCTCACCTGGCCCCAGACCCCTTCCTGGGTCCTATGCCCCACTGGGGCTTTTCCCACAATTGGGGCTCAGGCAGCCTCGGCCTTACCTGGCTCCCAGACCCCCTTCTCGGGTCTTATGCCCCACTGGGGCTTCTTGTGTGCACCCACACTGGGCTCCTCCCGATAATGCCCACACTGGGCTGGGGTCGGGACACCCCAAAACGCAGCACCCTCTCCAACGCCAGGAACCCCCCCCACTACTGGGGAGCTCCCATGAGGCCGCCTCCAACCCCTGCAGCCTCGTCCAGTCCTCCGGTGTAACAACAACAAAACAGAAAACACAAAGCCCCTTGGCTATAACATAAACCCTAAGCCAACCTGGCTAACCTTCGTCCATATCCCTGTCAGGGTTCTCTCCACCCCATACCATCATGTCAACACTGCTCAGGCCATCAGGCTTCTTTGCTATGCCTGCCCTGCTTGCTCCAGCAGAGCTCCCACTTAGGCTGCCAGAGGGGAACTGCCCTTCCAGCCTCAGCCTGTCTGTTTATATAGGCCCAGCCCTGCCCCCTTCTGATCAGCTGACCCAACTGGCTGTCTCAGCAACTCCCACCTGTGCTGCCCTGGTGAGTGGCAGCTGAGCCCATTTTACTGTTACTAGTAGCAGGCACCTTAGTGCCCTGCTACACCAGGGGAATAAACTTCCAGCCTCAACTTCCCCTGTGCAAAATGCAGTTTATTTTCTACCTAAGAGGACTTTTACAATTTTTGATGTCTCCTCAGCCTGAAGAAGGGTGCATGTGTCCAAAAGCTTGCAAAGAAAATTTCTGTGCTATTTTTCAGTTGGTCTAATAAAAAAGGTATCACCTCTGAACCAAGAGTTTTGTGTTTCATAGATTCAAGATTGCACTTACTATTTCTAATGGGAGATTTTGGGGGACGGGGTGGTGGTGGTAGTGTTGGTGGTAAAGCATAGGTATGATTTCTTATTGTGAACATACCCATTATTAGAAGGGCTGAATACTCTTGTTGGAAAAACGCAAAAATATGTTTTAGCCGATATTCAGCTTAGACTGTAGCTGCTCCATTCCCAGACCTGAGAAAGATCACTCTGCATCTGAAATGCTTGTTTCACAGGTTCTCTCACCTACAGAGCTGGTCCAACTAAAGATATTACCAAAAAACCCCTTGCTTTTCACTTGCTGGAAATTAAGTCTTCTGTTCTGGGTCGTTATCATTAGGATCATTATTGGCTTACTTTGAACACAAACTCATTTCTTCACCAAACCAGTACCAAAAACACCAGTTTGAAGAAATTCCTTCCGATTCTTTTACCCATTTTCTAGTATACTTACAAAAGTGTAAAGCAGAGTAACATTAACAAAACAGCTTACCCGGCTGTTCCTTACCACTCCTTGGTACAGATTTGTGCCCCTTGGGACTGGCAGTATTTCCACTTGTGCAGGTTTCCAATTCATTTGAAAATGCCTAGAGAGAGAAGAGAGAGCGAGCGTGCAAGCCATAAATCACCCAGTAGTCATTAGGGTTCTCTCAGCAGGACAAGCATTTAAAATAAAATTTTTCATTATTTGTTTAGACTATACAGTCCAACAGTGATGATCTGTATATGGCCCACTGAAATGGAAGTTTTGGCACATTTTGAATGGTAACAAAGCACAAAGGCTTATGAAACTGTTTCTCTCTTGGGCCCAAATTAAGCACCATGAGGCAGGACAATATAAACCTAGTGTTCAAAAGGTTGTGCAGGTAGAGGGCTTCTTTATACTACCGAGTTCATTCAGTTTGCCACTCAAGTGTGTTTCCTCCAACCCAACTCTTTTTTACACACAAAAATCCCTTAAAACTCAGTAACTTTTAGTTTAGGCTGGTTGGTCAGTTGGGAGATATTATCTAGGGTTTAAGTAAGCACAGATTATCAGTTGCCTACACTATAAGAAGGCAACTTTTTTTCTAGCCGCAGACTGCAATGACCCATCCTGGGTCAGAGGCGGGTGCCAGCAGCTGGTGCTCATCCCCCTTGGCAGCACAGGGGAAGGCACCCATGGCTCAAGGCCCTGTTGCAAAACGATACTAAAGCCTCATGTCTGCAGTCTGGATGGAATGCTTCTGTGGGCTGTAGGTTGCTGACCCCTTACCTGTACAATTGATCAAGTAATGCTCAGCTGTTACTTCACTATGAAACAGTTTAGCTAGAGGAAAAGCAAACTTAACTCAGGCTATCAATCCTCAACCAAACCCAGAAGTGAAGATGCTCCCAAAATGAAGGGGAAAGAGAATGCCATCAGATGGTTTCTGTAAATGGCACCACTACAGTTACACCAGTACACTTCTGCATGCAGAGTTATATTAGCTTATTTGAACAAATGCTGCTCTATTCAGGGATAAAAGTGCACACAGAAAGTAACACCAGCATAATTAGGCTGGAAAATTTTCCCCGCAGACAAGCTCTGCTTGTGCCAGGTTCACATGGATTCAGAGGTTTATCTTTACACTTTAATTTGTGTCCATGCCAGCAAATGGGGGGGGGGGGGACCACACATGTAGAATTTTGCAGAAGAGACAACTAACCGTTTCTGAAAAGGATCAGATGAGAGCTTTTCATGACATATGGTGCCCAATGGCATTTCTACTAATCAGTAAAGCAGTAGAGATCACCTCCCAAAATAGCATCTCTATCCAAACATGTCTGTTAAATGGTGTTCTGGTAAGTACAGTGAGTATGTGGACATCTGACCACATCCAAAGAACCTAAAGAGCACAAGTTAATAGTCCCCAGGCCAAATGGGGGGGGGGGGGGGG